CAGATTAATCGCAGATAAAACACGTTTACAAAATTGTAACAAGGAATAACAATGAATATCGAGTAAAAGAATATTAATTTACCAGGTGCTAATTACCTAATAGGGCAATTTGAAAAAGGGTAATACAGACAATCTTGGATTTACCTAAATTATGATGTTTTAAGAACGATATAGAAAAATCCAGAAAAATATAATAAAGTTGCTGAGAACAATTTCTACTCATAATTATTTCAATCCAATCATGAATAATTAATCGTAAGCATTTTCATAGATAAATTTTGCTTTATCCTGCAAAGAGGAAAAGTTATTTAAATGAATGAATACTTACAAATCGTACTTGTAAATCGTATTTGCAAGCTCACTCACAAATTTTTATCCTACTTATCCTATTCCTTCCTCTAAGGTAACCAGATTTCAATTAATGTCTTCTTTTTTATTTTGCGCATAAAATTGTTTCAAATCAACAAATCTTATCATATGTCAACGATATTTCTTATTTGTTATATCAATATCTATCGATGAAGACAATCTATCAGTATCAGTATCACTATCAGTGGTAGCTTTTCATTCAATATCGAATACGAAGAGAAAAATGGAAATTTATTGACTGTAGGATCACGTGTATCCGCGTCTGTTGGTTATCGAAGGATGTTGCAGTCGCGTGTCAGACAATTCAATGTATTTGTCACATGTAACTGTAACACGCTTGAATTGCGTAATATGGACTTCGTCTGTACATTCGATATACAATTTTTTCAAATTTATCGCCTTTTCACTGTTCTTCCTCTTGTTTCTAAATATCCACGACGACATAAATGAAAAGTTACTAGATGTCCGATAAAGCTCTGTGCTTTTATAAACGAAACGTACTTTCATTTTTATAAAGTTACAACGAAGTGAAAGCTGCAAGGAATTCTTATATAATTTAGAATAGATATTTCTTTTATACATTAAAAAGAAAGCACTCACACACACACACTCATTAGAGCGTCAGCTCTATCTGCTTCAATATAAATACTTTAACAAATCTAACACTTCGACTTCATCTTAAACGTAATTAAATAACTTATTAATTGACGATTTTTTGTATTAAAAATAGTTTGCAAGATGCAGATAACAGGTGGATCTCCTTCATCCACCGACGAGGTAACAATCTCAACTTTGTGTTCTCTAGTTCGCCAAAAACATCAATCGTGTGCATGTATTGTATGTACGTACGTGTGCACCAGCATAGAGCAGCGGGCAGTCATGCATCGGAACAAGCACGAAACAACGAATAAATCGAGCAAAACTGTTCCATAAAAATCCACAAGCCATCGTTACGCATTTACGGCCGCATTAACCGCTCTCCTTTTTGTCATGGTGGATTAGCCGTCGCGTTAGCGAATATTAACGAGAAAAAGCACGCTCGAATGTATCTGCAAAGCAGCTTTATACTATTCGACGTCTGTTCCTCCACTCGAAATTTTTTATTTCTACGAAATCTTCCGGAAACGTATTAAACCAATGAATGAATAAACATTTATCGCAGATGTTTTACATTTTCAAACATTCGCAAACATTTGTTCGCTCGTGTTCTATGTTTCACTTTTTCCAAAACTGAATCCCTCTTTTCATCTTCAATGTAAGAATAAGAGTCGAAACGCAAATATCTTCAAACATTATTAGACTTCAATATTCCATCTTGCACGCGAACATTTGACCATTCATACGTTTCCGGAAATTTTCGTTCGCTTCAAGACATATTATACGTAAGACACGAACCATCCATACATTGACTTCAACACATCGGTGTAAACGACGGTTGTTTTTCAAACGTCGAATATGGCAAGCATTCTACCATACAACTCGTGCACAACGATCATGCGAGAGGGACAAGCGTGAAGGGACGAAAAGAAAGAGAAAACATTGCTCCGGAAGCGGATTCGAGCGATAGGGATCAGGCAGGCTTGTGTGCAACGGTGCATGGGGTGCATAGAGGACGTGCACGCGACTCGCTTCCACGATTTTCCACGTTTCAACGCCCGCCGTGCGATACTCTTTACCGAAACGAATGATGCACGACCGCGGGAAACCGAGAGCAATTCCAGCGAATGGCAGAGTCCTTCCGGTCTGCGAACTAGTTTCGCTAGGCGATCGAAACGAGACGAAAGTTCCCGCGAGAAGTTTCTCGTGGCTCGTGACCTATGCCGTACACTCTCCAATTGCTTCCGTCACGACAGACTTTTTCTTCCGCGAATATTTCTTTCGCGAGTTTTCGATATACCGGATATCCCTATGATCGATCATCGATATGTGAATTTTTGAACAGAAATTATTTCTTTGAAAGTATTCTTCGAGTATTTTTTAATAGAAATGTTAAATAAGTAAACTCAAATGAAAATTAAATTGGAATACTAACGCACGGGAGAATGCAATTACCGATATCAAGCGAAAACGAAAATTTGACATTTAAAACACAAATATAGTATCCTCCTTTCCCTAAATTGTGTATACACAAAGAAACTTAATTAGAATCTGCACACAATACGATCTTTTACTCAGCGAATTTACTTTTACTCCTCATTGTACGAGAAAAACAAACGACTTCTCAAATTAAAAAGAAAAAAAGAAAAGAGATAGCAAAAAGGATCATTCGAATCAAAGAAACTGGACTGACTGATGCAAGAGTACGATCCATTGACAAACGAATAAATAAAAGGCGATAAGAGAACGAAGTAAATCAAAAGGAGAAGGAAAAAAAAGGGAAATACACTATGAACGGTCCGATTTGCACGGTGAACGCGGCCAGGGAAGAAAAAAGAAACGCGGCCGGAAAAATCGCATCGGCGCTGGCGACGCGGAAAAAAAGGGAGCGAAAAAAGCGCGATTCTAGCGGGCGTGGCGAGCAAAAAAGAACGACACACCGTGTATTGTGTAGAACGAGGTCGATGGTGGCGCTGCGGAAAGCGAAAAAGACAGGCAATGGCTTGCATAAAAACACTGACTATGAAATGCAAAATAAGCACACGCTCGTGCGTAGCCCGTGTTTCGCGTACGCGCCTGGAAATCGATACGATCGACTACATAGGGGTCCTGTCCGATTCGATTCCATTCTTTTCGTCCTTTGACGTTCGACCATCCCTCTTGGCTCGTTTGCTATCTGCTAAAGAGTCGCGTGATGATACTGAACTTCATTAAAAAAAAAAAAAAAAAAAAAAAAAAAAAACA